ACAACTTGCTTGGTATTCATCCAGTACGTCTAAATTTGATCATAAACTTACACATTATCTGATTATGTTATATGATATTCACACTAGTAGAGTCAAATGCATGGTCCCTATAACCCGTTGGTTCTCTCCGTCGTCAGATCACTCGATCAAGTGTATGCGTCCATTTCATCGGGAACATCTGAAAGGAAGTTGATGCTGAGACATCATCATCATCTGAAAGGTAGTCCGCGTCCTCATCGATCCCATCATTAGCACTGTTTGCACCCCCGGTGTTGAGCTACGTCTATATAACGGGGGTGTGGGACCGATCGCGGATTCCCGGGCAAGCACATGTGCTACCTCGCACTCGAATTCACAGAAGAGATCAAAACATCTTAGTCTCCCGTGTCGTTATAGTATACCTGCGGGAAGGATACCTATGCGTCTCCAAATCTGATGCACCATACCCCCTGAAACAGGGCAACTTTAATCTGAGTATATCTACTCATCCTTGTCTTCCTCAGGTACGACAAGGCATCATTCAGTTCTGGGTAATCGCGACCCATTGTCTTCGGGCCGATTCCCCAAACTGATCATACCTGCTGGCGACTTATTGATTCGCCGGATTGCTTTGACGTGCGGGGATCATGACCGAGAGTATGCTCTAGAACGCTCCTAGGATCGTACATGTGCGTATACCTTTACGATAAACTTGAAACAGGGCATCGATTTTGATATACGAGCAACCTATTTCGCTATTTCGCTCTGGAAACCTGCCCGCTTCGAGATTACACCGGGAGTACCCTTTGAGTGAGCACACTACGGCTGTTTTTGAATGTCGCTGCCAGTCTTGCTTCAAGGAGTTTATAGAACCGCACACGACATGGCAACAACAGTTGCGACCTCCCTAGGATCAACCCTGAGCGCAGATAGCTCGGCCCAGCCATCTGAACCAGATCTGAACTTGCAAGCTGGTGCACGTCACGGAGTCACTGGTACCTTATCGGAATCGAGTGATGTCCCGGTCGACACACTACAGCGGTACGACCTATCCCATCTATTCCAGCCATGCGTCTTCCATTCTGCGCAGGCAACTATCCGCGTACTACGATGATGATCAAGGTAGCACCTTCCCTACCACCTTATTGTGACTATGTGGAGCCGATGCTAACAGCGGTGCCCAGCTTCGAACAGATCTTAAATTCATCAGATGATGACAACACTGAGCTGCGCAGCCACCCGCGCCACCTGTGTACTGCTCGCTTCCACTTCCACCATTAAATTGACTGGGCCAATTAATTCCAGCAAGAACGTTACGGTTTTTGAATGCGCACTATACTCTTTTAATTTTCATCGCATACGACGAACGTGGTTCAAACGCGCCCAGACACCACTTTTAACAAATTGACGATCCGTATCATCACCGATGCTAGCTGATGCAACCACCCATGCACCGCTCACTTCTGATGCTGTTGCTTTCCAAGGCTCGTTGAATTAATGGTCAACGTTTTATTCCCTAATGTGCACTATGTACCGCTAATGTCCATCCAATAGAGCAGAACAAAGGACCGGGTTACACGCTTTATGAAAAAAAAGTTTATCAACTAGACTTTTCAAAAATAATCAAAACCAACTATTGCTGATAGTCTCACACACAACTAAAACCCCATCTTTAGCATCCCCGCGATGTGATATCAGTTTTGCAAATAAGGTTTGGAAATTGAGACTTGCTGTGTGTCTGGATCTCAGAGGCACGGTCTATGAGGGCAGTGCTTGTACGGAGCATCCATGCGGATCATCATCAATAGATTATTCCAAACGTCCGTTTCAACCTGATCATGTCAAGCGCAGCGAGCGAGTACATTTCCTTGATGCGGTGTCTCTGACTCATTGTGCATTTTTTTGCTTGACAAAGTTTCAAATACCACTCACCCACGGTAGCATCCTTTTAGAAGTATTGTATTCAGTTATCCCCAACCATCTTTCTGTTGTTTTTCGTTATATTATTTGGCTCGGCCCGTCAAATTTATATTTATCTCTGTCTCAGGGTGTTTCTTGGTGAATGTCTGTGTCGAGCCGAGAAAGATATCGACACGATGAGTACCAAGACTCAACAACAACGTTCCAACACTTACCACACCGGCCAAGTATGCACGTAGACCCTTGTAACAAAGTATCGTCATCGGCGCCCACCAAACCCGAAGATCTCTAATCGCGATCCCCACGAGGACAAGAATGTTAATGTAAATCATCTTCGATCCGCCACACTTCAATGTGATGAGCCACTTCGCGCGCATTCACAAACACGAGGCGAGCATTCAAAGTTTAAATCGCTCAAGTTTCGTCATTTGTGGATGTATTAATCTCCGCAGCGATCGCTCGCAGCAGGGGTCCGCCGCTCATGATGCATATGAGTTTGAGTTTGAACGGGCGATATGATAGTAGGGCAGCCTGGGAAGGGTGGTATCAGAATTTGATATGACTCATGCGCCCATGCGCAGCTCTCTAATACCCAAGGGAGGAGAGGGAACGTTCCGCGAATCATGTTGAGACATGGGAATCAGAGGCACTGCGATGTTTTGTCATGTTAGTGATGAATGATTCCGAATCGATGTTCTGAATCCGCAAACTCCGTGAGGCACAGTAAATGATTGTCATCGAGGCGGTACTAGTAGATATATAAATTTCAAGTATACAAAATAGTATGTAGTTACATGAAAACAATGTGTTATTTTAAGGTCGGCGTTCTAGTCAACTTACCGCCAGCGCTACGTGGCACTGGATTCATTGACGTTCATATGAAATTTATACAGCATGAAAAAAAAGGTTGGACCGGGTATCGGGAACACACCAGAGCGGAGGGACTGATGTATGATGGAATTGAAACTTAAATGGGTATCACAGCCTGGGGAAGGACGAGGGCGTGGCTCACTCCAAGGTCGCATGTCCTTGTCAATGAATCAGCATGGAACATTTCCGGGTAGAATGAAAAATTGATTGAAGGATGATCATTATTGTTGCTCCAGGGCCGAGGTATTACGGCGGGATAACGCCATCAACCAGTCACTGTTATCACAAAACATTGTTAAACATAGATACTAGGAATCACATGCACAAACCGCGGCCACGCTGAGACCCAAGGAGTCAGGATTAAAAACCTAGGAAAGCAACGGCATCATAGATTGGTAAGAGTGGAGGAACAGGGGTGAAGAGTCGAATGACAATGAAATATGCCCGGATGTGGGGATGTGAGCTGTCAAAACCCACAAGGGCGAACTGGTGCGCTTTCCCAAAATGTCTATGTCTGCAGTGGGAAACAAATTAAAAGACAGAAGCGCCCCCTACGGATATTATTTTGCCCCGTACTTCCACGCCCTGTTAGCGCGCTCGGTAGATTTCGGTGTGTAGCTGTGCCCGACTCATTAAGACACGGAGCCATGGAATATTTCTGTTCGAAAGCGGGCAGTGTGATAACATTGAAAAAGCTTCTTCACTGAACAGACAGAGCATACGTAGTGCCACGTAGCCTGTGATCAAGTTGTGGAGTCCGGGGGCACAGGGCCGTATGAGGTTAGTGGCTGCAGAAGCGAGGAGATTTACGTGATATGGAGCGGGAAAGCGCTTTGTCCCAAGTCCAATACAGATAGAAGTCCGACTGAGGCCAAACGGAGCATAGTAGCCTTCACGGGACAAGTCAAAATGGGATGGGGCCCCATTCTGCTGTTCTCCTCGGTAAAGTGTCATCGTAGAACTGAAAGACCCCACAAGCATCCTAGGACTTGCCATGACATTCCCTCCACCGTGGCATACCGATGCTATGTCCTAATTAGTGATTTGCAGGGAATTTTTTTTGGCTCGTGATCAATTACGGAATTGTAGTATGGCGTCTAGTACAATGTCTAGCGCCATACTGCGCAATGTTATGAAGAGGCGGGGCATAACAATGCCACGTCGACTTGTTGCGCTCCACTGAATGCTGTGGGCGGTATGTTGAGGACTAAATTTGCCTTCAGTGATTGAGATCCCCCAAGTGCCTTGTACTGCCTCGTCGCGGGGGATCTACTTTGAACTGTTGGCAACAGTGGTGAAGGCTATGTGACGATGTTCCAGCATCGATTATGTTCAATAGTTGACTCGAATCAGGGCACTTACCGCAACAGCCAAGAGAATTGTGTCGGTTATACCTGAGGCAGTGACTACGACTCGGACGAAATAGGAAAGTCCGAGTCAGCCTTGCATGTGAGTCACAAGGATGGGTCGGACTATCGATGGGAGTTAAACTCTTATTTGCTGTAGATAACCACAATCATTCTCCCGTTGCGGTCGCGGGATGAAAGCGATGGAGCACACCAGCGCTCCAAATAGATGGCAGAAGTCGCTCGGCTGCCGTAAGCGGGAAACAAGCACATGACCCGCTTGGCGACGCATACTGGGAAATTGGACTGGTTCAAAGCGACACAGCCAAAAGTGCCTGGTTTGTTGTCTCATTCCCTCGAATTCAATCTAATTAACGCGTCAAGTCATCATTTCTGTCTCCTGTCGGTAGCGGGCGATGCGTTAACCTCTTCCGAACTGCGCCCAGGAACTAACTATATAAAAGTCGAATGGATCCATTCATTTTATTACCCATCTGCAGTCCTACACTTCTTTTTACGGGCAGCTACCAAAGTCCACGCCAAGCTATAATAGAGCTGTCAAGCACCATTATCACTCAATCAGCTACCCCCACTACCACGGAAAATATCACTATGCCTGGCAGACACGTCCACTTCAACGAGGAGAACATCTTCTACTCTCCTGTTCCCTCAGAATCAAGTTGCTCGCCGACTCTCTCAGAGTCTTCGTTACCATCCTCAACTGGCCCAATTACTCCCCCTCAGCTGAGGGAGTTCTTCATGCAATTGGGTCCCGTTGCTATTCACCCACTTCTTGCTTACCACCCCTACGTTTTCCCCATCAACTACGACGTTTCATACCCACCTAATACCGCCTCCGCCAACATTCGTGCCTCACCTCTCAATCTTGACACTTACCGTCTCGCAGAACCTGCAACCAACCCACCCATTCCCATTCTTTCCCTCCAAAATGACCTTCTCCCATGGCGCTGTGAGATCCGCGCGTCCACATGTGATTATGTCACCGTCGAGGACGTTCTCACTCAGCTCTATCGCTTCCTCCGCATTCCTGGGACGCGTGATGAGTTCAAAGCGGCTCCCAGCCAGCGAGTTCGGGACGTCATCTCAGAGATGTATCGCAATCGGTGTTTGCGTGCCTCTACAGCTGAGGCATACGCCGAAGAGCAACGTAAGGGCTTGAAGCGGGTAGACTTCTTAATGGGGCGGACCACGTTCATGGGGCTGTCTAGCACAAAATTGGGTCCAGACACTTGGGTGCTAAACCTTCAATGAGCGGTCACTGCTATACTAGCAAGGTAGAGAAAACGGGCAGGGGGCCCAGCAGCGGAATCATCCATCATCCATATCGATATCCTCCACTCCAACCCATCAACCACGCATATGACACGGACATTTTCTTTTCTCAAAAAAACAGATATCGACGACGACTGGAACTCATTTATAACTTTATCATATATAACAAACCCCACGCATCACCCTTTTTCTTATTGTTACACTTATATCCCATATACATTACGCATACACCCACCCTTCGTCTTCATGCAGTCCTTCGACTGACTTACTATTGTTGTTGTACTAGAATTAGTGTACTCCCGGCTCGTTTTCTTGGTCGTCGCTCGTCGATATCCCTAACTTTGTTGTACTGTAGAGCCTTGTAGATCATACATGTCATGATATTGACGAACTATTCACAAGATATCCATGGATACATTCTTTTTTTATGTACCTCTTGTTAGTCTTGATTGGGACTCATCAGACTTTGCCGATCAATGCCTCGTGGAGCAAGACGTAGTGTGACAAGTGAGGGAGAATCGTGGGAATTCCTAGGGTTCGACGACATTGATAATCACTGTGACACCTGGAATGTTCCGTTCACCTGCTGCGGTACTCTTCGTATCCAAACAGCGATCTCCAAGGAAGATAGTCTCTATGCTCTACACAGGTAGGCCCATCAGCGTACCATCCCTCTCGAGCTTGGACTTGATGTCCAGGAGACAGTCACTCTGATCGACACGTGCTCGATCATACATTACATCCCATATCGGTGTTAATTTCAACGCTAGTGACCGCATACTTGCGTCATAGATTTTGGGAGACTTAGGGATGGAGCCAACGGGTTTGTCTTTTCTTTCGCGAACTATGACTACCAATAACACGAACACTAGTACTAGTACCAGTGGGGGTGGAGGGGGTTTTGGAAGCAAGATCAAGTACGTTCCGCGTTCTAATTTCATTACGCGGATCATTGAATAAAACTTGCAGAGGGGCTGCGCAAGTCATCCACGGTAAACTCATTCCATTCATCATCGCTTCAAAACAAATCACTATAACCTTCTTCATTTAGGGTTCGGCGAAAATATCCGAGGCACTGCACTTGGGGCTGCCGACCGTGCTACGAGCTCCGTAGCTGGCGTCCAAAAAAACGAGGATCTCGCTACACAGGGCCGTGCTGAGATGGCCGCGGGTATGGCAATGTTGAGAGGTCATCCTCCCGCGCCTCAAGTTGCCCCTACTGAAACGACAACAGCTGGAACGGGACCCCCAGGAACGGCGCCTGCCGATCAAGGAACGACTGCGGGGACTAAGACTAGCACCGCCGCAGCCGGTGGTGTTGCTACTGGGGTGACGGATCAGGGTCGACAGCAGGGAACGGGTGATGAAAAATCAAGGGCAGCTGGGGAAAAGAGCGGACCTGAATCAACAGGTTAGTTCTTGTGCATCGAGTATTTCCCGGTCGATGAGATAATTTTTTCAATCAAGGTCCGGGTGCTACTCAGACTGGTCGTGAGGCCGCTGTAGCCGCAGGTGCTGGGCAGGGTCCTGGTGGGGCTGCTGCAAGTACAGGCACAGCGTCCGAGCCGAACAGGCAATACCCGAGTGCTGTAAGTCAGCAAGAAGGGAAACGGGACGATCAGGGTGTCCCAGAGCGTTCACAGAGCGGCGATACCAGCCAGACTCGTGCGCAGGGGGCCACAGAAGATCGCCCTCAACAAACAAGTCAACGACCGTCCCAGCAGAGGGTAGATGAACCAAACAAAGCGGGACAAATGGGTGCCCAGAAAGAAGGTGGACAACAGGGCGGATGGACGGGCACCGAAGAACCGGGACGGTCTGAACACATTTATTTCCAGGGTACCTCGACGGACGAAGGAGGTGAACGACCGTCTCAACAAACGGCAGACAAGCCGAAAGAGGAAGGACAGGTCTATCGCGAAGGTGCCCGACAGGAAGGTGGACAGCAAAGCAATCAAGCGCGCGCCGCACAAGAGCCTAAGGAGGAAAATAAACCTTTCTGTTTCCAGGGTATCTCGGCGGATGAAGGAAGTGAACAACCGTCTCAACAAACGGCAGAAAAACCGAAAGAGGTCTATCACGAAGGTGCCCGACAGGAAGGTGAACAGCAAGGCAGTCAAGCGCGCGCCGCACAAGAGCCTGAGGGGGGAAATAAACCTTTCTGTTTCCAGGGTATTTCGGCAGACGAAGGAGGTGAATAATCGTCTCAACACACGGCAGAAAAACAGGTCTATCACGAAGGTGCCCAACCGGAAGGCGGACAACAAGGCAGTATGGTGTGAAAGATTCATTTGCAGGATTTCCAGGGTTGCGGTATCTAATTATCCCATGAATGACATGAGGAGTCTTCCAGGCTTGGTTCTGACTCGGTAGCCCCGGTAATCATCAATTCAAAGTAGGAGTCATAAGAAGAGGGTCTAGGTACCGGCGTAGTAGTAAAAATGTAGTTTGTTAGGCTGTTTCTTAAAACCGGTTCGGATTCCGAAATTTGCTTTGTTCCGATTTCAAAATTAGAAAGACTCGGTCATTACTGTAAACTGATAACCGTTCATCACGCATCATGGTCTTAACAACATGTGGACCTATTGCGCCATTATCAAGCGCCCTTAAAGTATCTGCTCTCAAAGTGCCAGCGATATCCTGTCTTCATATCTCCCACCTCATCGACAGGAATGTCTACTCCTTGGTGGTCGCGATTTAGCAAGAAGCACAAAGGAGACCATGCTTCCGAGTCACAGCTCAGCGAAAAAGATCAGAGGATTCAGAAGGAACCAAACAACGATGACACCGACCTTAATCCTGGAGAGCTGACTTTCGAAGAAGGTGCGGTCTCTCGCTATTCCTTCAACTTGCACATCTGATATCATCCAGATACCGCTGGAGGCCTGGGTCGTCACCTTGGTGTAACTTCTTGCACTCTCCTTATCGTTGGACGGATTATCGGCACCGGTATATTCTCAACGCCGTCCTCCATCCTCTCCGGCGTAGGCTCAGTCGGCGCCTCCCTCATGCTCTGGGTCCTTGGTTTCTTGCTTAGCTTCTGTGGCCTCTTCATATGGCTCGAGTTCGGCACCATGTTCCCTCGCAGCGGTGGAGAGAAGGTATACCTCGAGGCCGTCTACAGAAAGCCCAAGTACCTAGCCACCGTAGTATTCGCTACCAATGCTATATTACTCGGATTCACTGCAAGCGGTTGTATCGTCAGTCATCTATTGTTTTTGATGGATATTCGGTGTTGAAACCTGACTGCTTCCTCAAGGTTTTTGCTAGCAAGTGTGTACGCGGATCTTGATAAAATGACTCGGCTGATACGATGTAGTATCTTGGTTGCTGCCAATCAAATCGCAGGGCAATGGAATGAGCGTGGAATTGCACTTGGAGGTGTGGTCTTCTATCTAACTGGTATGTTATGATCGTTTCATGCTTTCTAGTCATCTTCTTCGTCACCCTTCTACACGGATTGACCCCAAAGACCGGCGTACTGATCATGAATGTATGCAAGCCTTTTCATCTTCACACCATCATCATATCCAACTTCTTCATTTCAGTTGCTCTCGATATTCAAGATCGTGATTCTGGTCTTCGTCGTGGTCACAGGCTGGGTGGTTCTCTCTGGCAAAACCCGTGTCGCGGATCCGCACTACAATTTCAGAAACGCATTCGCGGGGAGCTCTACGAGTAGCAACAACGTGCGTTTCATTATACAATGATGCCCATCTGCTGATGATAGATCATCTTGACAGTATGCTACCGCCACCTTCAAAGTCCTGAACGCATATGCTGGATGGTCTAACGTGAACTACGTGATGAACAACGTCCGTGATCCAGTGAGGACGCTCAAGATCGCAGGCCCGCTCGGTCTTGGTATATGCACCGTTTTGTACTTGCTTGCGAATGTGGCTTATTTCGCGGCTGCAACCAAGGTAAGAACTTCTTTTGTATCTGTACCACGAACGAAATGCTGAATGGTATCGATAGACGGAGATCGATGACTCTGGCGTTACTGTCGCTGCCTTGTTTTTCGGTAATGTCTTTGGTTCCACTGCGGAGCGTGCGCTAGCGGTTTTCATTGCTCTGAGGTGAGCTCGACGTCCTGGGTTTGGCGATTTTCTGACTTATTGTCTTCATGACAGTGCTCTTGGAGTGAGTTCTATAGATTTCAGGTTATGATATGTGTCTGATGATGGGCCATAGAACGTCATTACTGTGGTGAGTCGAGGGACGCTATTGAAATGACTGGCACCAGAACTTTTCATTTAGACTTTTGCCGCGTCACGAGTAAACCAAGGTCCGTCATTTTAAACATTGTGATTCTACCTAGCTCATGCCTAAATCACAGAGCTCGCGAAGGAAGGGATACCGTTACCATTCGGAAACAAATTCTGGGCTTCAAATTGGCCCACAGGGAAGTCCCCACTTCCGGGATTGATCATTCACTTGATACCCTCTGTAAGTGCTACCGTAGAACTACTTGACATCCATGATATCAATCTGAGATTGGTTTTCTAGATCATCGTCATCATTGCGCCTCCCCCAAATGTCGCTTACCCCTTCATTTTGGACGTCGAAGGATACCCACAGCAGATTATTAATTTCTTCATTGTTATCGTACGTCTTTCAACTCTTTCTCTCGATTTTCCTTACCTCTTGATGTTGTCAGGGTCTGTTCTATCTGAGATGGAAGAAGCCAGATGCTGTTCGGCCATTCAAGGGTGAGCAGATATATTGTTTTTCCTGTGTGGTAACTTCATCCGTATGTTGTAGTTTGGTGGCCTCTTGCTGTATTCTTTTTGGCTGCTGCTGCCTTCCGTGAGTCGCTGATCTACAGCTAGCTCCGGCGCTTTCTTTCCCTAACCAAACCTCTACACAGTCCTCATCGCTCCCTTCCTGAGACCAGCCAACGGCGTTGGCGACACCCCGCCATTACCATATTACCTGTATGCTTACTCCACCAGCGCGTCTCATATTCTCATTCTCATTTCTTGCTTGTTCTATAGGTACTGTCTCGTCGGAATTGCCATCATGTTCGCAGGCGTGCTGTACTGGGCTGTATGGCGAATCATTTTGCCCAAAGTATTTGGATATGAGCTTGTGGCGAGGAAGGAGAAGTTAGATGATGGGACTGTTGTCGCTGTAGTGAGTATTTACGTTTTTGATTGTGTGTTTGGTGGCTTTGCTCACGGAACTTCTTTTCAAGTTTTCGAATCAGAAGATCCAGCGATTTGAGGATTGATTGGAAGTGCGCTCTGTTGTAGTAGTAGTGTTCGACGGCAATGCGCAGATGATGTATGCGCGCGGCATCATATTACTAGTCTAATTCTGAATCCTTGATCGGCTCTGTTTCCTTCCCAGTGCCGACGTGACTCTTCCGAAACCTCTGCCTGCATTCTGATGATCTGGCCAGCTGGTGAGACTGACAATTGATTTGTTCTCATGTGTAATTCCGAGTCTATGTGGTCTCGAGATGCAGCATGCAGCACACCTCTGCTAAATGCAGCTCATAATTAATCTTCACTAAGACGACTAAAGGGCGCATACCCGGACCCTATCATGCTTTCTCAGCTGATGTAGTCACTACTGAATTGTCTCGGCACCGTTTAGAGCTTGTTCGGTAACCTGAGTTTGAATGAAAGTTGGGCGCAAAGTTTGACAATGCACAGCATTGAACAGGCGGCACGACGAACGCCGGTGTCGGAGATCGAATGTCTTTCCCTTCCGACCATGGCCACGAAATCTGTTATCAGCCATCGCACATATGATCAGCGCAGAAAGCAGATCTTTGTAGCAGTCGCTACTTTCATAATCTGTAGCCAACTCCAGCTGATACAAATGTCTTTACCAAAGGAGAAGGCTCACTGGGAGGATGCTGAGGTTGATGCCCTCCTCGACTATCTTATCACACAACGATCAAAGTTGGCTGGAACCAACTTCAAAGAACCGACCTACAATGAAGCTGCCCTCAAGATCGCAGGGTTGAAGAAAAGTGGCCCAGTAAAGACGGCATCACATTGCAGGGTTAAATGGGCAGGGGTATGTTGTCTCTTGTGCCACTCTGAGTCCAGCCATCGCTGATGCAAATATTTTAGTTAAAATCTACTTACAATGCTATTGAGAAATATCGCAACTGATCCGGGTGTCATTGGGATAGTGAACATGGTGCTAGCATTCAGGGGGAGGCAGCTGAATCTGTGTGGAATGAATTTATTCACGTATGTAATCACATTTATGTATTAATTTCAGCTGAATTTATCTTGCCACAGAGCAGCTCTGGGAAGTCCATGAAGTTGTTCAAGAACACCAGTTACAGGTTCTACAACAAGATGGACCAAATCCTACCAACTAACAGCATTGCACATGGATCTGCTTCATACAACCCCACGTCATCAGCTGCAACCAGCACTCAAGTCCCAGTGCCAGGTCCCAGTGTCAGTAACATCACTGATGATGCTGCACCAGTACCAGGTCCCAGCACCAGCACCAGCAACATCACTCATGATGTCAGTACTAGTATCCCCTCCCTCATGCCGCCTCCTTCTTCTACCTCTAGCCTGGGAAAGCGCCAGCTCGATGATATGACGTCAGTTGCCCCTTCCGCATCCATCATGTCTGAGTCGGTCTCGCAGCTGGTACCATCAGAATCCGACAGCAAGAAGCTCAAGTTAACGGGTACGAGTCGGCGTAGCAGTGGGAATGGTGGCAGAAAGGGCAAAGATGCTGCCAGCGCTGCCGCATGGATGAACCTGCAAGGTTCCATTAATCGCCTGACCGATGGTCTTACAACATCGACCGTCACTGAAGATTCTCGGGTGGCGGATGAAACAAGACGTGCGCTGGACAGCATGCAAGCAGAAGAGGACTTGTCGCATGATGAGAAGATTGTCCTCTTGAACGCGAGAATATGCACTGTGTATTTGAGTACCACGCCGGAGCTTCGCATTGGTTTTTTGCGGTCTATCATTCAACAAGTCAAGCACAATATTCCATTTTTGTAGTAGTAGCAGAATGTTGTACTACTACTGTATCAAATAGCATCATCGTTGTCAGCATCATTTTCAAGCTCTGCATACTGTTCATCATCTGAAGCCGCCTCCTCATCACTTTCCAAGAACTGATCTACATCCATCAAGTCTCGTTCATACAAGTAGTTTTGATAATCCTCCCACATTTGCATTGCAATCTGATCACGAAGGTTGTTTGCGTTGGTATGAATGGGCGCTGCACCTGAGTTATCGGTGTCGGCATGTCCTGGAGGTGCTGGGAAGGTGTCGTGATGGTTGTCATTGACAACGGGTATGTGCGGCAAAGGACCTTCATCTGGGTCATGAGCGCGGATGTAATTGTGAAGAGTGCATAGCGCTGTAGGAATCCGCGCCTGAATGTCAATGCTATATTCAGGGGATATGAGAAGGATGCGAAAACGACGTTTCACAACACCAAAAATTCGTTCAATGACGTTGCGAGCTGATGCATGACGGAGGTTGAACAACTCTTCTTTGTTAACAGGTCTAAAAAATAATGTCAGATGAGCAAAAAAAAAACAACTGAAGGTTTACCTAGTGCTAGCATGGCCCCATTCAGCAAGGTGATAGCGAATGCCATGATAGGGACTAAGAGCTCTTTACATGAGGGGAACCCTGAATCAGCAAGAAGATATTTTCCAGGCAGGATATTCAGGCCATCATTGCGAGCTACATCCCAGAGTCGAGCATCGGTTGCTGATCCCTCCCAGCCAGTCAGTGTGAATGTAAAATTGAGGTCAAAATCGCACACAAAAAGGCAATTTTGAGAGATGAAGCCTTTGCGATTGTAATAGAGGTGGCGGCTGTGTGAAGGAGGGTATGCATGGATATGACTGCTGTCAATCGCTCCGATGGCATCTTTGAAGTAAGGCCAGCATTTTGGGTTGTCGCGAATTTCACTTGAGACAGGTGTGCTGTCAGTGGGAAGGCGGACATGTGTTGTGTAGAATGGATGGGACGAAAAAATAAAGAGCATCTTGCGGAAATAGCTGTTATATGAGTGACTTGGGGTTAGTACTAAGTTCAAGCAAGGTTTTGCAAACTACAAACCGAGAGACTGTATCATTTGACCGCTGGAATCGTTCTGCGAGATGTCTTAAAGATAATCCGGTCACACACACATATAGGAATATTGCCAGCTGCTCCTCTAATGATACGTGGCGTGAATCTGCATGGCCAAGGCTTCGAAGATCATTGACCAAACTCTCAAAGACCTCAGCATGCACCCCAAGCTCACAGCGTATGCGTTCAGGGTGGCCAACAATTAATTCCATCACCCATTCTTGACTGGTCAATGACAAAGTGTGGTAGGGCTCAGGATCCTCAGGGGTCTGTTGTATGAGTAGATGTGTAGTAGCGGCAAGCAATATGTTTATCAGGAGAGCAATGTAACGGAAAGTGCGCTTGCAGACTTCTGCTCTTGCGATGTGCACCGTATCCGGTTGAGTTTGCTGAAGAAGATGAGCTGCAGTGAGATGCCCCCCATGGGGGGTAATGGGATTAGGGAATAGTGGCTGATTTACTGATAGGAGTCCCTGTGGATCCATGGCTGGTATGTTGTACCGACTCGTAATACCTGTGATGATCAGCACTGATCCTTTTCAGTCTCCGCTCACAACTCAGACGCACCTGCGCCACATCAAAATTGTGCGTTGAAGTAAAGTTGCTCTAATGTGGATTACCGAACAAGCTCTCAGGGTTTCGAAGTTTCGTTTTGCTTTCAAACGCACGTGATACGTTTTCGCGGAATTTTCGAAAGTCCCGTTAGTAATATACGACGTTGTAGGTGACACTTAGTGTTGTGGGCAGAACTGACGAGTTCTGCCAACCGGTTTGGCAGAACTGGTTGTGCCTGGCAGATGGCAGAACTCCGTGAAAAAGTGCTGGCAGAACTTGGCGGAACTCAGGGTTGGTAGAGCACTAGTCCATAATAATCTGTACAATATGTGTACCTTAAAAAAAGTGAAACGAGTCACATATGCCTCTTGGCTGATCCTTCGTCCCAAAATATGGTCCATGCTGGTGGCCGCCCAGTGCCATCCCTAATCAACGACAACTTTGAGCGTCTCGACAAAGTTGCAAACAGTTCTGGCCGTTACTTCTGGAAATGCAAGCACTGTGGTAATCTCGACAATTCCCTGGCGCCAAAATCCAAGGTCGCGACAATAGTCTGCCTAACCATATCATCCGCCACTGCAAGGATGCTGCTCCTGAGCTTCGCCAAAAAGCCCGGACATTATTATGAACAAGACAGGTGACGATGGTGGTCAAGTTATCTCACCAGCTGCTTCGTCTAGTTCTGGTGGTGTGATCAAGAAGCGGAAGAAGATTTCGACATTGGATGGATATGTAGACTACCCACTTAGTGACGAGCAAGCCAAACTTGCAAATATAAAACTGCTTCGGTAGGTTCACGATGAATGTGCAACAAAAATTCCAAACCAATATCATGTAACAAGGTTCATAATTCACGTTTCACCCGCTAGAGTTATGCCAACCGGCAGAACTGGTTGTTCTGCCGGTTCTGCCGGTTCTGCCGGCACTACTATTCTCAAGTAGTTCTGCCCACTGTAGTGACACTTCCGATCGTCCCGTATATAAATATAGCTGTTCTCCGATCACTTTCAACACTGGTTCAACTTCATTGGCCAACCATCACCAAATTGGGTAAAAACGAGTGGGACAATTCCCAGCGATTTCAATTCAGGGTTTCGAAGTTTCATTTTGCCGTCAAACGCACGTGATACGTTTTCGCGGAATTTTCGAAAGTCCCGTTAGTAATATACGACGTTGTAGGTGACACTTCCGATCGTCCCGTGTTTTCATTGGCCGCCTACTTTTAACACTCTTCAACTTGGCCAACCATACACTTCAATCACAGCAATCGGTATCCGTCCCTTTAGTATAAATATTGCACCTCCTTGTTGTCAGTATGAGCATTAGTCCTTCTGTACTCTCACACCATGTCCTCATCCTGTTCCATTCAGGTGTGCTTTCAAAGTTAGGAATCCTTGACTTATGACCGAATGACGCCGACCCTTCCAGATTGCGGCTGATGGCAGAACATCTGCAGAAGAACTCCCCCTTCCAGAAGCCCTTTGTCCTACGTCCCTCGTAATGAGGGTGTTGTGTTTTTTGGCACTGGGACGCCCAAATCTTGATGATCATTGGAAGTCGCTCCAATCAGAGCAAGCCTTCGAAACCGTTAGGACCAGGTTGTGCTCCATCCTGGCCAGCACCATCACCACGGTAAGCTATCCAACTCTGCGCCCGTCGCGAACCAGAGCCGACGCTGACATGCTCTCATAACTTAAGGCAAGCGTCCTCCTCGCCATAAGCGGTGTCTTCGTCAGTACGGCCTCCCCCGTGTTATACTTCGACTATACGTCGCCCGTTTCCTACTGTCTCCTCTTTATATCCCTTATGTTCGCCGTGCTCGCTATGTTGACGTCTGGCTCGAGTATGATACGTTGGCTGCACACCGATCGCCACTGGACTCGAGAAGTAAGTCTCATTCTCGCCATGCTGATTATATTGGCTGACTTGATATAATCAGCAACTCAGGCCGGGCGGCTACTTTGTCTTGTCCTACCTGTTGTCGATAGTCACGCCTATATTCTTCGTTCATTCTTCGTTCTCTCGTCCCTGAATTGTTTCATATTCGGTGAGTTGTTCCCTCATTTCGTTCTTTTCGTGGTCCCTCATGCATTTCACTCCTAGCGATGTTGATAGCAGGTTTTTCTTCTCATAGCATGATCTGCCGCGCCGTCGCTGCGCTCTGGATGATCACATACGTTGTCAATGTGGGCGCAATATTGATGGAAACTATGTGGAAGTATGCGACAAGCCTCAATCACGCTGGACATCGCCAGTAGTTCCCACTTACCTCCTTTCACCCACAGTTTGTACTAGTTATGCTGTATACGACGTCCCTGATATGACACAAATGTGCTTCGAGTATATGTATGCAGTCTGTAGTTTTCAATTATGCAAACCAAATTTTCAAGTATTTCGCAGAATCACACACCATGTCGAATCGTGTCAATGTCAACGCTCATATAAAGTCTCGATTGGAGGATGCTTTCGCAAGAGGGAATTAAGAACATTTCAATTCACATCATGAAACCTAATCGATGTTATACAATTTTTGACAAGTAACAATACAGAAAGCACGACGAAGGCTGTATCTAGAGGATGAAACATCAGATAAGATTCAACAACGAGATACGTTCCCTCAGGAAGAACAAATTGTCCATCATGAAAATCGGACATATGCTTGTATGTTATAGAGCATCTTGGGGAGTGAAGGGGAAGGGGATATAGCAAAATACTCACCAGTGCTCCATTATTATACAACCATCACAGGACGATCTGTCAAAAGAGAAAAGGAAAAGTAAGCAAGTGATGCAGATGAGCATGAAGCATGAAGATGAGAATCAGTTGGTGATGCATGTTACGAGTGATGGCTCATTGGAGACCGTCGCCGACTCGAGGATGGAAAGTATCGTCATTCGAGAGCATAAGTCGTGAGGCTTACCTTCGCCAGTATACATGTGTATCGCCGTGTGCGCAATGGTGAAAGTATGAAAAAAATAGGCTTCCTTGCCGAGCTTGATCCTGAAGCGGAGTCTGGCGGAGATTCAAAAACACCTACAGTTTCTCTCGCGATTTTCTTATTCCATGTTCATGTTCCGCTCTCGCTCTGTCGTCGTCTCCAGTCGTATGGATCAACTGGATTAAGGTGAGCAGCAAAATTTCTCGATGTTGGAGCTTTAGTGCACTTTTTTTGTGATGATACAATCAGTTCTGCTTCCGAAAGAGACACAATCTCTTGTGGACAACCTTTTACCAAAAATTCTCAATCCTGATCCGCTTTTCTCTTGATTTACGGAGAGCACAACATGCTAACGCTACTGTTACAGTTGAATACACCGGTTCTTCCTCGATGTGCTCATTATGGTAGAGTGAGTATCCACTATGATTTTGTGCATTCATATTTGCAAGACGAAACCAAGTTCATCCATTCTTTGAGTCTCCCGTAGTTGCACGTTCGTTTGATCACTCTTGTTTGCAAGAGATACGTTTATGCCTCGTTTTGATTCATGTGCGTTGGTCCAGCGGGCGTTGCCTTGCGGGAGACAAGAAAACATCGGCTTTTCTGATTCATGTCGAGGTCCTGTTGAACACCTTGCTTACTGTTATGCTTTAGGTCGACTGCGATTCTAGATCACTATATGTACTTGACACGACCATGTTTGTTTGTCAATAAAATATGTTATGTTTTGCATATGACCGGGCACTGCGAGGCACGTTCTATGGTATGTAGTACAAGTCAAACGTAGAATTACAAGATATAAGCTCTATTTGAGATAGTCGAGTCCCCCATATCTGCGAAGAGCCAATTGAGAATAGCTGCAAGCCTAATACCACCCTGAGACATCAGCTTCTCAACAATCCATGCATCCTCGATTGCCCCGGAATACTCGGGCGTGTCGAGCTCGAGGTATGGATTCTTCCTCGGCCTGGTGAGCCAGTGGACTTCAAGAGTTTGATTGGATGAGTTGCAGGCATGATCGTGAGTACCCTCAGAGAAGGAAACACGGTTGTATGGTGGTTCATCTAAGGCCTTCGGGAACACGATCTGGCAGTTCAGAGCGTGAATGGGAGTTGCCCAATGGTATGGACACAAGGTTTCATCATCGGTGTTCAAACCTCCATCTGTAAGATGCGACCCCACAATCCAAGACCCTGTGCGACGCCCAAAAGTCCAAGATAACCATTGCTCCCAGTGAGTTTGGAGGAGTTGGACGGAGGGTTCGGCGGGACACGTAAGCCATGAGTCGAGCTCGTTCTCGTACTTGCCCATAATGCCTTCCCATACGATACGGCGAATATAGGGGTCGTAAATAGTACCCCGAAGGTGAGTCTCAACTTCGGGAAGTGGCAGATGGCGGGTATAATTGGATGGTATTGTGCGGATTCTTTTGGCTATGAGGAGGCCATCCCAGAGAGAGTGAAGGTCTATGGAAGATGATGATAAGAGCGAGGAAAGATAAGAGCGGGAACGACTGACTTGTTACACGACTGTCAAATGAGACTTTAATTCCGTTCCCTCCTCGATCACGTCCTGTGAGGTGCAATGGCATATGCATATCCCCGACGAAGTGAATGAGAAACTTGAGTGCGACTTGTGCTGCATCTTCATCGCTCGCAGTGGTCAAGCCAGCTTTGCGCAGGCCCATGTAACTCTCCAGAGTACTTGTGGTATTCCTTATGCCGCTAAGCACGTTGATATTCCTTCTACCCTCCCAGCCTTTCTCTCCCGGAAAAAGGCAAGTCTCGCTAGGATAGTCATCCGTTGCGCCAATAGTGAAGGGGGCCTGTCCACCTATACTGTGGCAAACCACGGACCTTGTCCGCCCAGGCAGCAACCGGAGCGAGATGGCAGTCCCCTTTGTAGTTCAAGATGTCACACAGAATGGGCATGACTGAAGGATGCAGATGCATCTGAGCGACTGTCGCGACGACTTCATGACCTATAGAAAGATTAGACTCTTCAGAGGCGACGCTCCACCATACTCACCTACCGCTCCCCATGCACTGACGTATGGTATGATAGTGGACCCTGCGGCAAGAATGAGCGATACCCGCGAAAAGCGCATCGTGGTGGTGTAAAAACAAGCCGATACTGAAAGCGAATCTTCTTATATCCAGCGGAACGTGCAGTCGGAGGGGAACCAAATGGGCTTGCACAGATAAGGTGACAAGCGTAGTGGCAGACAAGAGGTCTGAGGATAAGGGAAATACAATAATAGCTTGTACACAGCCACATGCCATAGCAACTCGAACATATTACAGTCCTTCCGGAAAGTCTTGACTCACGTGTTCGAAACGGTTCAAAAATAGTGAAAATGTTGAAAATTCAATTAAATCACTTTCGAGTTTTGTATGCCTCTGAACGGCTTCAAAGATATCATATCTCACACGTTTGTCACTCAGACTCGTCATGGTCTACCAGAGTATCAGTCGCGATCGGAAAGAACGAGCCCTGTACCTGCTTTTGGAGGAAGGATGGGACATTGAGCACATTGCTGTTGCTCTCGGAGTATCGCCCAGAAGCATAGAGCGGTGGAAGGTAAATTATGATGAACATGGTCATGTTAACCCTCCTACACCAATCATGGGTCGCCCTCGCTTGCTGGATCAAGTTATGACAGACGAGATCCACGAGCTGCTAGCTGAAACCCCGTCACTGCTACTTGACGAGATCAGTGAATGGCTCGCCATATACCACGATCAGCCTATATCGACGTCAGCTCTCCACGAAAACCTCAGGGACCTTACACCTTCATAGGTTGTTTACTTATATTTGTGCCGCCATACTCTCCAGATTTCAATCTGATCGAGGAGAGCTTCAGTTGCTGTACGTTCGACTACATTTCATTTTATTCTGTCGCTCACACTTCCGCTACAGTGAAGAAGTGGCTTCACGGCATTGGAGAGATCTCCAACACAGCCAATTCCCTGAGCAGGACCTTCGTGAAGCTTGCTTCAGGGCCGTAAATGCCGAAAATGCTCGAGGCTGGTATATGCATAGTGGCTATCTGTAGCGCGGACAATATTACGCAGGGGAGTAGCTAATAGCTGCATTTACGGGGTAACAATATACAGGTATGAATATCTACAAGTTTGTGTAAGATTATCAGAGTTTAACAAGTGGTAGATGTGCGAAGGTATCTGCGGCACAGTCGGAATCATATTTCCGCTTCATAGCTTACTACCAGGGATCCGAATCTTCAGTGCAGGCTGCTTGGCATAAATTGCATCTGCCTAGGTGTCAGTTTATTCCCGTCGAGTAACAAGGAGGTAGTCACGGTAACCTTTGATCGCTTGTAGCTCAGGAGCAAGCTCTAACTCCGAGTCATCGTCCCCATAGGTTTCATCACCATACTCGCCCGAGGAGTCTTCCATACCACCAAGATTACCATGTTCTTCGTCTAAAATGTTGCCAGATTCCATATGGATACCATCAACAGATTCATCATCAGAGTGTTGTGAATGAGAGGCATCCTCCTCGTCGGAGCATTCAGTTACTGTATTAGACATAATCTAACGTTCAAAGAGTGACACTTATGCTTTTCTGCTCGACTTTGAAGGAGAGTGGTGCAAGTTTGCTGAATTTTCGATTTATTTGAATTTTCAACATTTCTACTATTTTTGAACCATTTCGAACACGTGAGTCAAGACTTTCCGGAAGGACTGTATTATCCATATCGCCGCTCACCCCCAGTGAAACTGGACATGGCCAGAACGGTTGAGATAGAGTAGAATATTGTTTAGACATATGATTTATATATCCTGTAATATGGTATCATCTTCACAACATCATCATGGTCTGTGCATCACATCGTAAAAGCATCGCATCGCATCACGAAACGTTACTTAAGTGTAGCCCCCGGGGTAGTCGAATTAGAGATCCACCTCCGCCTGACAGCAACTTAGGCAAACGCCCTCAGCGGCTGTACTCCGTAAAACAGCGATAGGCTGTCGGGGGTGTCTGCGTTGCAACGGACGAGTCAGGAGTAACCACCGTCGGACACTGTACATGGTAATTGCCGTTGTCTTACCTGCCAATGCATGCAGCTCACTGAGATTGACTACGACATTTCGATTCGCATGTCACATGCCAATATCAGAGAAAGCATGAGTCCTTGATTTTGTAGCCGTGGGAAAGTAAATGGTGTGCGATCGAGTTTCAGTCGCACCGTTGAGCTTCGATGGCGGTCCATCCCGAAGCCAGATCGGTTCACCGAACTGGAAGTCGGGGATTATTATGTCATTTGATCTCATCACTTGCTCATCACAATTAAAAATGTTCAAGTTCAACTTCGACGTGGAGGACGATACTGAACATTACAGTACAGCTGTAAATCACACAACACAGAACCAGGGGCACGCTTCCGTGGAGGCGGCAGTCGTTCCTGATGTATTCACGGAGCTTTTTCTCGCAGACGCAGTACGTATAGACGCTGCTCATCTTCGTTTTGTAAAACTGATCTGGGCGCGCAAGGATTAGTTAAACAGCCTACCGTCCAAAATATCTTACTCTCCAGTCACGATCCCACTTGCCAACGGAGGTGAACTTTCCCTTCCACGCCGTGATCTGTTCGATGCGAGGTTTCAATTGATCTCTCAAAATGTTGATGACCCGGATGCATTGGAGCAACCGTCCGTCAACGCACGGTCGGCGCTGCACTTTTTAGATACACCCTCTGACCTCGTGCCTCTCGTCTATGAGGGCGGCTTGAAGACTTGGGAATGCAGTCTTGATCTTGTCAGCTATCTAGACGGCATAAAGTCACAGTTTGATTTTAGCGGCAAGCGCGTGCTGGAGGTGAGCATCCATTCTCTTTGCTTTTATCGTAGCATGAAACTCATTCATCGCTTCACAGATCGGATGTGGCACCTCGATTCCATCGCTATACATCCTTCATCGAATATTCTCCTCCCCACCTTCTCAGAATCAGACACATATACACCTCCAGGACTATAACGCCTCCGTGTTGGAATTGGTGACTATTCCCAATATTATTCTGACCTGGTGTTCGTAACATTTGGTTTATTTTCTTTCTTCACGTCTCACTCATGATACAGATCTGTCAGAGGCAGCAGAGACATACCGCAAATCAGAGGAGCGGGCAGACTCTCCTTTGGAATTGAACATCTCGGAAAGTCTTAAAGACGCGTTCCATCAATCCCTGGTGACCTATGGTGTCGATTTACGTTTTTTCTCTGGCTCATGGGACATTCGACCTCCAAAATCAGTGGGAGCTACAACCTGGTGTTAACATCTGAGACCATATACCGG